GAAAAACATAGTTAAACCTTTAACTCCCAAAATCTCATTCATAATTCTCCTTACTGTCTGCCACATAGTTCTTGTGATGTTAGTTTGGAGAAATTATTATTGAATCAACTAATAATCTCCTAATCAATATTTTTCTTTATTCTGATCACTTGTCTGCTTGATATTGTATGGAGAAATTCAGTCTTGGTCACTCATGGGAGTTAACAAACAATTCAATTACAGAAAAACTGGAAAAGTTTCTGCATCTTCTTCTTTTAAATGCCAAACTGTGAGATTTAAGACACTTTCCCAAAAACAAAGTTTGTTGACAAAATTCAGTCATAAGGAAATCTTGTGTGCCCACTCATCCATTTAAACCTTCAACTCCAATATGTGACAGACATGTAGAGTAACTTCTCCTTCTAATTGCAGCATGTTAATAACAAACAGATGATAAAAAAAGACAGGCTTATCAGCTGAAGTGTGAAATCATCATACAACACCAAATTCTCCTGTCTAATTTACAACAAAATGTGAAGTAGTCAGATGGGAGAAATACTAGTTTGAGCTTGAGGGTCCATGGGCCAAGGAGGACTGACCTTCAACTTTTTCTCACATTCATCTTCCTCTGCTGTCTTTGTTCGTTTAGCATCTGTTTCATCCACTGCTTGTGCTTTTCTTTTGTTCCCTTTCCCAGCCTTCTTCAATTTCACTGTTCCCAGTTTGCTCTTCAACAAGTCTTTGTCTTCCTTCTTCAAGATAGTGAATCCAGAGAATGACTCAGCTGTCACAGAAGAGTCGACCTCCAAAGATTCACGGTTTTCCAGAAAGCAATCAATATGATGCCACCAGGGAATAGCAACACCAGCTGGAGCACTTGATTCAGCATCTGGCTCCTTGACCTTGGCAAGGCGAACTTCTCCCTACAAACAAGAGACTGTTTAATTAACCAAGATCTTATTAGCAATTCTCTTTGCTGCCTGTTATACAATTCTTATAAAGTTAGTTTAGAGAATGTGTTGGTGAATCAACTAATAATATCCTAATTGACATTTTTCTTTATTTTCGTCACTTGTTTACTTGATATTGTATTGATATTGTAGGGAGAAATTCTGTCTTGATCACTCATGGGAATTAATGGGTTAAAACAGCATTTTCAAGAACAACAACTCTAAACTAGACAGAAAATAGATGGTTTCAAGTCATGCTTTCAATGAACTGTGAGTTTCTTGTTCTGACTCAGAGAAAACCAGGAAAAGTTTTCTCTGTGGAATCTTTTTTCATAGCTGTCCTGTGCACAACCTTTATGTGATGTAATCACACCCTATTTGGTATCAAACATAATAATTTTCAAATTTTTATGGACTTGGTGGTCACATGATAAGAAACTCATTGACTTAGTTCGGGCAAGTCAAAGGGGAAAATGCCTGGCTCGAAATCCCAACACAGAGACAAGACTCAGCAGGTGAAAGATTCTCCCATCTTGATCTCCCATCCAGTCGGTTAGAATATTGTAATAAATGTAGCAAACCACAGGTCATATCTTACCTTGTCAATCTGTTCCTTGCAGTTTTTGCATTTACTACGGCTGGACTTAGCATACTCTACCAAAAGGTCATCTGCAACACTGTTAGCTGGTTGAGTGCCCTTACCCCCACCCTCTCCTCCCCCATCCATTTTGCCTCTGATCTTCTCTTGATCATCCCATCTTAAGGAATCAAAGCCACTTATGTCACTGGAAGCTTTTGCTTTGATCTTCTTGAAGAAACAGTTGTAGTGAAACCAATGGGGAATCTATGATATGAAGGACAACAAAATGCCATCTACATTAATTGATATTTTGCAATAACAAGGGTGGATCCTGGAACTTTTTAAGATGGGGAAGGGATTCAAACTTTGATTCAGAAAAAAGAATATTTATTTATCCCAACCAGTCAGATAATGGTAAGAGTGCAGACCCCCCCCCCCCTTCACCTGACCCTACCCCTGGATGTGCCACTGGTTGAACACAGCTAAAAATGGTTGTGCAGGCTAGGCTCTAGATCTTTCAGGGTGCTACCAGTAAAATTTTCTGCCACAATTATTACTTTTGATCTTAATTTCTCATCAATCCACACTTATGGTGGGCCATTCCACCCTTTCAAGGTTCCAAAATTATTTCTTAGTTTCTAAGCGCTGAAGAGATACACCAATGAGCAATGAAAACAAAACTAATAAAATCATACTTGGCCTCTCAAAATATTGACGAAATTTGCATGAAATTTAATCTTACTCCTTTGAAATCAGAATTTGTTTCGTCAATTTCAGCACTATCATAACTACCCCCAACTCCCGAAAACCGGATTCTCAAAAAGCGCTTTATGTTCCAACAATAATTATGTAATTCCTTTCACCTACAGACATAACTGAAAAATTCTTGTATGCTACTGCTTTCGAAAAGCTGAATTTCTCACCTTGCCATCAAAGTGCGGGGACTGAAAAACAAAGAAGAAAGAGTTTGTTAGCCAAACCCTTTCAATAACTTGACGCAACCAATATGCTATGCACACGAGTCGACATGTACATTTCACATTTTTGAGAATGAGATCGCTCTATTTCATCAAGATCACACAAAATATTCTTCAAAATTCTCCTTACCTGGACCATTTTCGCCAGCCTCAGGCTATCTTTTGAGATATTATCCTTGCACGATTTGCAAGAAGAACGGTTCGACTTGGCGTACTCAGCCTTGAACGGCAGATCGTCCGCCATTTTGGTGTGAGTCTAAAACACGGAAGGAGACTGGATCAGTATCATTCTTACTTCTGATTGGTTGAATATTCGCGCCAATTCTTTAGACAACACATGATCACTTTTGTAACCAAACAATGTGATTCGCGTGTACATTGTTAGAGCAACCGTGTGAAGGTCTCAATTCGTAGTGCACGCGTCGATAAAGACCTTTGGTCACATGTAGCTTACCCTTTGTTATAAGGAGACAAATATTCGAGAACATTTTGCGTCATGGTTCGTCAAGGACGTGGTAATTCTGGAATATAGGTCTCGTATTGAGATGATTTGATGTCAGGCTTTGCGCAGCCGAAAGGTGAGTTAAAAAAACTATTCGACGACGCCGATGAATCGTACTGAAATTTGCAATGCCAAGGTTATGTATGAAAATTGACGTTGCTGAATTCTAGGAAGCTCGAACCATGAGCAGTGCTAACGTATTAAATCAATAATATGTATTGAAGAAAAATCACTTTCAGACGAAATATTTAAAAAATTAATTCAAGATTGCTTTATCTTTGTTGAGGTTGTTAATTTTTAAGAAATGAGAAGGGTCTTCTGATCTGATTCACAGGGATTTTTTTATTCTTGTTTAAATATCTCATAGGGCTTGAGAGGCACAAAAAGTCATGATATTTACAAAAACATTTCAGATATTTAGTGTTTAAGTTCCTCAGGTTAAGTTGCAGTCTAAATTTAATCAGATTAAATATCAAATCCACAACATCCAAGTCCCTCATTTAAAAATATATTGCTTTATGGAAAAACATTTCCCTGTTCTTCACATTTTTATTGGGAAAAATAATAAATATAACAGAAAGGGTTCTTGCAGAGGCATAGACAGAATTGCATTTACAAAAAGTTTAATTGCTCTTCAACTTGACTTCTTGTGCTAACTAGAAGCACAGATTTAACCTTTAAGTGACCAAGAAAGAATTTCTCCTCCCAATATCAATCTAGAATCAAGCAGACAAGTTCCCTGCTAGCAGGGGCCTCTTTTCCATGTATTCAGCATGCAGTAGAATAGAGGGAAATAGACAAGTAGTGAGAGTAAAAAATAATATGAATTAAGGGTGTGTTAGTTGATCCACTACCAAATTCTTAAAACAAATATCATAAGAATTGCTCTGCATACAGTAAGGAGAATTACTAATGAGATCTGGGGAGTGGAAGAGTTACCAAGCTATCAGAAAACCCACATTCCCCTAATGATCTCCCAAAATCTCGTAAAATAGTAAATAAAACTAGAAAATAGGGCCTGAGGCACAAGAGTTAAAGCAATTGACAACCAATAACAATATTTAAAATTATTTTCAATTTTTTCTTGTTGGCCAAATTGTTGGTATCTGGAATCCTTTAATCATACAAAAATAACTGAAGTATTTGTTCAACTTAGTTTCACCTTTGGGTGATAACAATGTCAAAGTTATCCTCATAGGTATACTGAAGTTGTAGAAATTGTAGAACAATAAACCTGAAAAAATTGTGGGTTTGATAAGGTCTCAACTTGAGCTTCCTAAATGGTCACTTCTATTGAGTGAGCTAGGAAGCTACAGTGCCAGTAAAAACTCCTTGGGACAGTTATTGAAAATATATCCTCTATCCAAAGATAATTATTACAAACACCATCTTTGGCCAATTCATACTTTTTCACAAATTCTCCCTTCCCCTTCCCCCTTCCAACAATGTTGGTAAAGCAAACAGTTATCACATCTTGATAAAGTTTACAAAGTGACTAGAATTCAACATTTTTTGGGGAAGAGGGTAGGGAAAGATTCGACTTTTGTTATATCGCGTTAAGTGTCCCAGGACTTTAAGCCGCCATTTGTAGATTGGTTATTCGCATGATCAAAGGATTGCGTGACTCAATCATGCTCATATGCTGGTCGTGTAACGTACACCATAACCCCTTATATACTTCTTATCGGCATTTATTAGCATTTCGGTGGATTGCGATCGATCAAGAAGTTCTCTTAGTCGCTCATCCCTCGGTCTCCAACTGTCGTTACGGAAATGTCCCTTAACCACTCCTCCATATCTGGGGTACAGTCTTTTCAGATATTCTGCTCCTCGACGAACTTGTTCCGAGACATCAGAATGTTCTTCGTCGTGAATGAAAGTGTTTGAGACTTCCTCGATAATTTCAAAAGCCTGAGCCTTGGCGAGGGTTTGTAACCGACCATTCCATAAGTTCACCGCCTCTTGTGCTTCAATCTCGTCAAATTCAATTTCGCCTTGAAGTTTTGGGTCGACTTGCGCAAGAATTCTGCTAAGCGTGACACAAACTGTCACTGTCACTACCAGTGTTATAAGAATGCACCAAGATATAATCGCCGATAAGCTCTTCGCTTGGGCAAACTTCTCTTGAATCTTTTCTCTTGAGCTTTCATCAGTGGCGTGGTCAAGAGCGGGTTTAATGGGTCCGAGAGTTGAACAGACATAGAAATCACCTTCCATGAAAGCGAAGACGAACCATATACACGGCGGGAGAAGCGACAAATACACACTTTTACTTGATTTCCACCACACCAGTCTTCGCTTACGCGATTGGAGACGGAAGCAGCCAGTGACAAGGGTCCAGAAGGACTCAGATATTAACATGGAGAGGCAAAACAAAACGACAGCGGGACCACATATGAAAAGGCAACCATAGAGGATGTGGTAATCCCGAGGACAATTGAAGACAATTTGTTGAAGAAATGCTTTGAAGCCATACAGAAGCCCCGTGATGACAGTTGTCTTCACTGGCATTTCTGATTTAGCTATACAGTCTGTATAAGGTTGGACAACCTCGAACAACGAACGACTCAACGCCATGATGATAACCGAATGTGTGCGTTGTGACATGAAGTAACATGTCTCAGGCAAGAGGTTATTATTGCGTGACAATGGAATGAGTGCATGCGCATGTTAAACATTTTATGCGCGTCATCTCTCAAGAGGCAGTTTTTCGGGGAGTTTCTATACATAATTTTAAATCTTAGAATAAGTGAGTGAGAATTAACTCTCTTAGTGTACTGAACTAAATGGTCTTCACTGTCGAAAAATACGAGATCTTTGAGTTTTCTATCATGGTCGTGACATCAAACATCGCACACCTCGCACCGGAACCGCGTAAACTGGAAGTCACGGGTTAGGCATCTAACAATAGCTTGCGGTTTAAGGAGGGTTTTGAGTTGTGGAACTGCGAAAACGCAAGTGAAGCCGCGAGAAGAAGTTATAGAGATGTGAAAAACCACCCGAGACTAGAACTCCGCAGTGGTTACTTTGTGTATCGTTGATTTTCATGAAACACCAGGCCTTCTGCAACGCTGGAAGGTATGTCACGGCTACATAAACGTTGCTAAATCTGAACGCAGGCTTTTTCTATTTATCCTCACACGATCATTGGCTGTAAGGGGTGTGCAATAGCGCAATACTCATATTCATTAAAGAAACAAACAAACGAACAAACAAAAACAAGAATATTTAAGGTTTATATCGAAATATGTCCTGAGAAAGCCTGTCAATACTTGACTTGATCTTGTTGATGATGTTTATTACTCAACCATTGATCAAATTTATTCAGCAGCAATCGTCTTTTTTTTACAGTTTTTTTATCCTTAGGTAATCTTTTATTGAACAACTATCTGGTTTAAATAATTCCTCAATAAGTACGACGTTTCTAAGAAAACCGAACAATTTAGAACTTAATTCAATATTATTTACATAGCCTCTTTATGATCGATGAGTGCATGTTAATCAGAATCGTTCCGACCATTCCAATACGCGTAGGTTGGGTTGTAGTAAGCTTCTTTCGGTGTAATCGGATACTCGTTAGGAGACACGAGGTCCACCGAAGATGTAATTTTCATCGGAGACTTGCTTACACTAAAAAGCTTCGAGGCTGGAGCATCGACGAGCATGTCGGTATACCTCGGCGGTAACTTCGCCAGGTTCGTGAGGCTCACCGAGTTGTCATCGATTTGCTCAATCATCGATCAAATTTACGCAGCAGCAATCGTCATTTTTTACAGTTTTTTTTATCCTCAGGTAATCTGTTATTGAACAACTATTTTGTTTAAATAATTCCTCCATAAGTACGATGTTTCTAAGGAAACAGAACAATTTATAACTAAACTCAATATTATTTACATAGCCTTTTTATGATCGAGCACAGTTTAATGAGAATCGTTCCGACCATTCCAATATGCGTACGTTGGGTTGTAGTAAGCTTCTTTCGCTGTAATCGGGTACTCATTAGGAGACACGAGATTCACCGAAGATGTAGTTTTCATCGGAGACTTGCTTACACTAAAAAGCTTCGAGGCTGGAGCGTCGACGAGCATGTCGGCATACCTCGGCGGTAACTTCGCCAGGTTCGTGAGGCTCACCGAGTTGTTTTCGATTTCCATCTGCTGAGCCGACGCTAGCTCCTGCTCCAGGTTCACAAGTTTTAACGAAGGTGGCTCCTTGAATTGTCGGGAGTTTGTCGTCACGAGTCGGACAGAGGTCGTCGTTGGCGTGGCAGTTTCAAGTGATACACTGTTGAATCGAGTGTCACCAGCTTTTCCCTTTAAATGATACTTCCCTCTTGAGCTGAAACTTGGCATTTTCTGAATGAGAGTTTCGCGTACCTAGAGATTGGAAAAGAATCAACATCAGTGGCGGATCCAGGGGGAAGGTGTAGGTGGTCCGCACCCCTTCCCCCCCTTTCCATAAGATCTTTTCTTTTCGTATTGTTTGCCCAATACCAAAATTCTTGCAACGATAGCTGAATCGTGTGTTACTACTCAAAGTAAAGTTTATAAATCAACTTGTCTTGAAATATAAGTTAGCCTATGTAAGCTCTGGTGTGAAAAAATGTTTTCTGAAAATACCTGGATCGGCTGCTATAATTGTGTTTGTTGGTTTTCTTAGAACACTTTTATTCAGGAAATAAGACTGTACAACCACAGATTACAGTATTTTCAATCGAGTAATTTTCTGTTGACTGAGTTCATCAGGTTTTCTCCATTGCCCTTTGTGATTGGTTTACGAAAGTTATCAAATTCTCCCCACCAATCAGACTTGGTAACGTGCGTTTTGCCGCGAATGAAGATGTTTGTGAAAATGCCGTTTAGTTTCATTTGGGTCTTAACGAATGAAATGTACCTCAGTTTCAAAACTATACTTAGTGCTGTACACCGTTTCGTAATTTACTCGTAATTCTTACCGTTTCGTTAATCCAGCAGTGCGCAAAGAAAATGAAAACTCCCTGAAAAAGGGATCATAGGTTACATATACAGTTAGTTATGAGGAAACTGCGCGTGCTTTTATTACCATTGAACCCGCTCCTACACTGAAATAACAACAGTAGATTTGTTAATTCACTTTGATAGAATATGCTAACTCTTCTTACATAAATACACGATTAAACCTACTAAACTATGGAATCAAAGCGACCCTGACAATGTTAAAGGCCCATTTCCAACCTTGATGCAACGCGATAGTCCGTTTTTGTTTTGAACCGCCACTTTTGTTGAAATAGCGCCTCTGATTGGTCAGTTATTTTTACCTTGCCACGTTGTCTCAAACTAGCTTCTTCGTTTTTCCTTTGAAAACAATACTATACGTTTTATTCCGGTATAGAATTAGATGAATCCATTGATGTAATACGGACTAAATTCAAAACTACCGCAAAGAAACTGTAAAATGATGAACGGCGAATGTATTTACCGTAAAATAATTGACCATATGTCCAGGATGGCTCTTGAGAAAGAATATTTAAAAAGGTTTTTTTTTAGTCGAGGAATTTCGTGTTACTGGAAATAGGTCGCGGCGCGCGTTGCATCAAAGGTGAAAATGGGATTTTAATGATAGTGATTGATAATGATAATAACGATGATGATGATGATGATGATAACGATGATGATATTTAATAGTTCTGCCAATGATGGTGATGATGATAAAAATGATGATAATGTTAATGATGCCCGAGACGGTGATAGCGATAATGATAGCAATAATAATGATAATGATGATGATAATATACTGCATTAATCTGAAAATGCAGTCGACTCTCGCCCTGTGGACACCCCGCTATTCCGGACAAGAGCCAGGCCCCCCTCCCCCTCACCCCGATAAAAGAAAATAAAGAAATTATTCTTCAATTCGGTGCAAACATGAAAATGTCCTACTTGCGGCCGCATCCTTTTCCGGTTCATGAGGCCACGTTAGAAACTTTATGTTTCAGTAGTTACACATTATTTCATATGTTTAGAGACAAAAAAAATTTGTCTCTCTTACCCCGCTATTACGGACTCTAAATCTCCCCCCCGTGGGTGTCCGCAATAAGGAGAGTCGACTGTAATTGCATTGTTCGTAAAAGCGAGTTACAAGATAAACACTTTTCCTCTTAACCAAAGGAATAATTTTGCCGTTCACGTTTTATACCTGTAAAGAGTTGGCGATGGCGAAGATGTAATGGAAGATGATCGTGTTCTTATCAACCGCCATGAAACCAAACACCCAAGTGAGGCCAAGTAGAGGAAGCAACACCACTGTCACCTTAACACTGCGCCTGTACAAAAACCAAAGAGAAGGGAATCAGTTTTGTCCACTTCTGGGACGAAGGTACGTTTGGAATTGTCCAAGTTCGAGTATAGCGTTTTTGAAAACTTGCACTTCAATTATAACGACGCAGCTACTTTAACAAGGTATATAGTTCAAGCGGTAAGTTCAAGGTTATTTCTTTTATATACCTTATGCTTGATTTCCTAGCGGAGTTTTCTTCTCCAGCTTTTACCATAGTCTTCCTCAACAAAACGTAGATAACGCTGACCAGGATGAAACAGTTAATCTGAAATAAAAAAAAGAACAAAAGTCAACAATTGTTTTAAATTCGGAAAATAATTTTCTCTGGCGAAAACACAAACTAGAGCATTTGTAATGAGCCTCGCTCACCATAGAATCTTTGTGGCTCAGTGGAATAGCATCGGAGCGCGGAAATCCGAAGGTCTAAGGTTCGACTCCTCGTGGGGACTCAGAATTTTTTTCTTTCTCCCACGCTCGCGACAAAACAAAGAACATCTTCTTTTCTTTTTTTATTCCATTTTCAAACATTATTCCACTCTACTTCTATCAAAGACTTCTCAGGCATAATAACATTAAACAATTAATTCTAATGTCTGTGTGGTTTAAGCTTTATTGTTCGCGTAACATAATTTTACTGATTATGCTATAGAAAATACAATCAATCCGAATTCAGGAGAATCGTTACATATATGACGGTATAACACCCAACCGTCCCATTGTGCGTGCCTTGTTAGGGCCAAAATTTAGCAAGCGGCACTGAGACCTCAGAAAATAGGACCCGCGTTAGAGTCATTCAAATTGAAGTCTGCGCGGTGCATATCGCAGTGATTAGGTTGACCGTTGTGTTTGCTATAGCATGTTATAAAATAATCATGTAACACTTTTTAGTTGAATACCACGGAGCACGCCACTCGTCACTTGTAACTTCAGGGTATAGACACACGCGTATTAGCTAACACTTATACCTAGAAATACAACTGACTCATGGGATATTCCGTGTTATTAAAAACTGGAGCATTGGATAATGCAATTCGAGGGTTTTCATTGGCTTAGCCATCATGAGTTATGCGCCATTATACAATGCTCTACAACTATGGTATGTGTATTGTAATGTTTCGTTTGTTATCACAAGGTAAAGTTGAGAAGCTTCGTGTATATATATTATGGAAAGTTTTTAATAAAACAGTTATTCCTCTCGCGCTTGTTGGATTTGAGACGACTATTGCCAACTCAACCCTACGGGCGTCGTTGGCCATCTATCATCTCATATCCAACGCACGCGCGTGGAATAATTGTTTAGAACACTCATAAAAAGCGTCCAGTGATAAACTATCGCGGTATGTAGTTACTTACCGCAATAACAGCCAGTACCGGTGCAGCAAAAACCCAAATTAGTTTCCCAGACAACCAACAGCTGAAATAAACGGAAAAATCAGATACCGTCAATTATTTAATCGAATCACTATATGAGTTAACAAGCCTTTCGATGAATCAAATTTGAACTCTACATGACTATCTTCGCCAACGCACGCCCCCTACTCTGCATATTAACGACATACACTTCGCCTTCTGGTGAGGTGAATACGCAAGCTACAGGACATCTGTAGCCAGTTTCAAGCATTTTTCTGTGAATAATCGTAAGAAGTTTTAATTTGTCTTGGCACAGTTCACTTCTGGTGTAAAGTCGGTGCATTAAATACGGCTTAGGTTTTTTAGGGCCGGAAAAATTAAAATAAGGGCCTTGTCACCGTCTGTCTTGTTGGGACGCTTTCTCATATGATTTCATACATCAAATAACACAAATAAATTAAGATGAAAAATAATTACATGTTGTGCGGTCCGTATTCATAGAAGGATAGTCCTGCAGAGGCTGATACAAGAAGAATCGGTGCACCTGAAAAGAAAAGATTTGCCAGATGCATAACGAACTAAACGTAAGTTTTTTGCAAGACAGTGCTAAGTAAGAACGGGTGATATAAGCGCTACCCTCCTAATCATCTGGAAGATTATAAAAGAACAGAGGAATGACTTCGTCATAGGTACACATTTCTTTTTCTTCTCACTCAGGGTTAGAAATGAATACCCTTTGACTGCGGTAAGGAGGCTAACTACAATGGACAAACCTTCAATTTAGTGGTTGACTTAGTGCTCTTAGTCGCGTTATGCAACGGGAACTGGGGTAGGCATTGGCAGCATGGATTTCGATGTGAGTCTTAATTGTTACTTTAACTTACGCCTACATTTTAGTGCGGCAGTGAAAATGTGATGTAAAGGAGTAGAATTTGCGAACGTGTATAGATTGGACGCATAACTGCGTATACTCAGTGCGCATGATGGTGCAACTTAGACACTGTATAGCGAACGATTAGACTCACGCATGCACCTTAAAGCCTAGACAGCGATTTGTGAGTCAAGATCAACAACGTCGAAGTTTCAACCCACGCCCGCCTCAGAGCATCTAATTAATCACGCACGCGTGGGTTATCACCTATGCAACTTAGTTTCTCATATAGCGAGTTAAAATAACTTACCCCAACCCAGGACGTAGAATACTTTGTTGTACTTTTTGTTGCTAAAAACACGTACAATCTTGTTGTAAATATGGATTCCCTCGGCCAACATCCAGCAAAACGAGGCACTGAGGAAGTAGTGGGTTGCTATGGAAACTATTCGACAGGCAAGCTGACAAGAAAAAAGGAGGAAAAAAGGATTAATCCTTTGCATCTATTGAATATTAGGTTCGAGGAATCGAAGTACGTCCCTCCAGGTAATATTACTCCAAATGCAAACACCAGAACCAGAGTTATATTCGGTGATGACGAGTTATCATACCCTTTTAGAGCGCGCATACGCATACCTACGTAATATTGTTCATACGCGTGCATGCGTACATACAAAATAGTGTACGTACCACATCCAACGAAATAATTATGGTGCCAAGGACAAAACAGATTTGTGACAGACAGATTGCCAGGACAAGATTTATATGAAGTCGATATGTCTCACGCCTTGCTTTGGTTTCACGTGGTTTCCTCCTGAAAGATATGGAAGACATGAATTACTTCGAAATCTTTTTTACACAATGAAAGAAAATTGGATCAAGTTAATATAAATTGACTTTCATTTTTCGTTAAATGTGAAATTCTCAATCGTGTAGATATGTTTTGGAAGAAGTTCGTAAAATCAAGCATCAATAATTTTATAAGAATTTCTGAGAAAAAAACCGAGCTCAAAACTTACCATCTCTCTCATTTCTATCTACAAACATTGCACTATCGACATTGCTGATCCTAGCAGTATGCAGGACGCGTGTCATATGAACTTCGTAATAGACCTCGCTCATCGTGGACTCAGAATTTATTCATTCTCCCGCGCTCGTGACAAGACGAAAAAACATCTTTCTCAATTTTTGAAACAGTTTGTGACTAAGAAACACTAATCATTAACTACGTCGTTTAAGAGAGCCGTCTTTAAAACAGACTATACTTTGAAAAAGATTGGAAATATTTTAAAGCTTTGGCAAGATCACTCGTAACTGTAGCTGTGTAAACTCGTGGAATTTTTTTAAGATATAAGCACGATTTTTTGACACATCTGTGGCGCAGTCGTTGCACCTACGAATTTTCCTTGAAAAGTTAATGTGAAATGATTTTATCTTCGTGCAAAAAGAAAAAAAACAAAGTGAACGTTTTAGTGCTTCATTTCAACCAACAACAGCACTATTTTGAGGTCAATAGATATTTTCCAAAATACGCAAATCAATCCGTTTCAAATGTCTTACATTGCCAGTGAGAATCCGAATATTGACAAAATACAAAAGAAAATGGAGACGCAGCAGCCGACCAGCGAGATGTACATCAGTGTCTCCTTGTTAGCCTCGCTCAGTTCATCCTGAAAATATACCAAAACAATGAGTTAGCAAAACTGAATTATCGCTCGTGATGTAATATAGGTCGTACGAGTGGAACAGGGAAGACAGTTGCTGTTTTAGGCTAAGCTGGTGGAACAGGGAAGAAAATTTAGAGCTAAGAACGCTCTCTTCTCGTCTTTTTCACTATCTTGTTTGGACCTGGCTGAACGAATGACCGTTTACTGACAGAGGGACAGACAGACAGACAGACAGAAAGTCTAACATAGGACAAACAGACCGATGGACAGCCTGTTTGACTTATTGGCCGAAGGGCTGACTCTCTGATTACAAGTGGACAGAAGAAAGACAAAAAGGAGAATGGTAGACAGACTGACTGACTGTTGAGTGACTGGTTTAATGAGTGATTAAGTGACTGATCGACCGATTCGCCGAGAGACTGGTGCATTAACAGACTCAAGAATGATTGACCGTTTTACCATGCAGCTGAGTTACTAAATGACTGACTGGCAGAAAGTTTCTTTAAAATAGTCAGTTTAGTCCCTGTTCTAATGTAGCTACACACGTTTTAACAACAGCCGAGAAGCTGAAGATTCTGAATGACATAAGAGGCCGAAAGTTTTACAAACATATTTTGTTACATCTTTCTTACATAAATTCCGTGCACGTCCATGATGAGACCATAGCTAGTGAGATGATAACAGTGGCAGATGGTAAACTCCTCTGTGGAATAATTCCTGTAGCATCCAACACTGGACCAGTGCTTTGAAGGATCTCTAGGGAAACGAGCTCTGCATAAATAAATCAACGAGAGGGTTAACTGCTTTTGTAATAAAGTTCGGATATAACGCGCGCTTCATTGGTTGAAAGAGCGTGCTCTACCAGAGTACGAAGCATAGAACTGAGCTAAAGCTGTCACGCCGTTTGCCAAATTGTACCACGTCTAACCTTTTCGCGGACTTCTCTCTAGCTTTTTCGTTAATTCAAAATGAAATTTCGGTATAAGCGAGCCGGCAAGTAGCAACAGAAGAACCACTCATGAAGTGGAGAGAAACACTCAACTACGTCACGTGTTTCTCCCTGCACTTCCTTCGTGCTCTAGTCGCTTCCGTGCTTTTCAATATAGCAGAGCACACTCAAGGCTTTTATATTTTTTTAAATAGAAACGTAATTGTGCCATAAATAGAAAGCCATATAGCTGGGAATTTATGTTGTAAATTGCCTTTTCCTCATTATCGTGGTTAAATGAGCAGAATGGTACTTACATAGCTGTCTCGTCCAGAAAACTGCATTTCTGCTTATGATATTCCTTCTGCAATCAAAGCATAATTTACAAGGAAATTTGAAGGTCTTTTTTTTACTGTTAGCACTGAGCCTGTTTTTTTTGGTGGGAAAGCTAAAGTCTGATTTCATCGTTTCATTGTTACCTTTAAATGCTCAAAGCGTAATACGACCGGTTCCTTTAGATTGGCGAGATGATCTGGATTCACATTTGTTGCCATGACAATAACAATAATAGAGTTTAGGTCGATGCCATCTGACCTAAGAGATGGATAACAACGAGAAAATCATTGATTATTTTATGAGCATCAATCCGAGAAAATGGGAATCGATGAGAACAAAACAGTAAACACAGATGCCCTCTGTTCAGACACAAGGCACAAGGACTGAGGAGACGAAACAAATTTCTAATTACTGATTTGTCAAGTAAACTAAGTTGTTCTGGCTCTCTAAACATAATGTTTAGATTTTTGACCGTCGCTAGATCCAATTTATTTCAGATTGTTGCAATAGGGAGTAGAACTTGAATTGAACATTAGCTCCCGCACAACCCCGCACCAATTACTAAAAGATGAGTTTTTCTACAGAGGAGCTATGTTTTGGAATAGGCTTTCCCATGAACTCAGGTCAACAGTTGTTTTAAGCGAATTTAAACATAAACTGCATCATTGCAGCTTTGAATGAAACACGGCATCCGAGAAAATAGCTGTAAAGACATAATAGGTTTTTATTCTTATAACATTCTATCATTTATTAGTTAGTTTAGCTAAGCAAAATTAGATATTTCTCGCTCTAAGATTGTGCTGAAGGAATTTTTATTATGTATAAATAAAGTTATCTATTTATCTTAACATTATTGTATTTAAATGAAAATGAGGGGGGAGGGGGAGGAAGAGATGAATGCCGATTTTGACCTCAAGGGGCTTTAATTTTCCCTGTAATAAAAATATATTGCACTAACACTGTTTAGGCTTCAACTCGATTTCGAAGCTTTCCGTACAATTATAGATTATCTAAATTGTCTCTCGTGTTTTATCACTCATATTTAAATACTTTTATTACTTTACTTCACCTTCCATTTCTTGAAACGTTGGGTAAAACGTTTGCCATTCCTTTCAGAAGGGCGACAGAGATCCCGACAGAATCTGAGAAAGAGTAGCACATCTTTTTCCATAAACAGAACACGAGGAAGCCCACAAAAACGTAAAGAAAAAAATTCAGAAGAGAAACGCTGAGTTTACCATTGTCGTTTTTATCTTTCACAATGTCACTTGGTATTTTGACGCTGTGCGGTGAATTTGGGAAAATTGTTGCACCGCTAAAGGTTTGTCTTCTCGTTGCATTCACTTGTAGTTCTGTACAAATAAAGCAACAGATGATTATGAGTAAAAAGAGGCTTTTTTTTCTGGGTCACTCCCCTCAGGCTACTGATCACTCCCTTCCTAGTTAATCCTAGGATGATCTTAAGAAAGGCCATACTGGCTCATGTGGACATCCACTTAAGACTTTGCTTCCTCACAAATATGTCGTAGTTTACATTTGAAAACTACTTTTCAAAGGCTAGGTTACAGTGTCACAATTTCTCATGTACTTTTTAACCCGCTTCACCCTAAAATCAGTATGTGTAGTCTCCATACTGTTCTCTATACATTTCTTAAAGTACTGACAAGGAGAATTTGTTAAACGATCGAGAGGTTCTTTAGCTGGTGATAATTTCCTTCATTCTTATACCTCTAAAGTTTGATTCCAGGGTTATATTTTAAATTAGATGCTAGGCACCCTTACCGGTTTAAAATGTTGGAGGATATTTTCAAAAAAAACTTCACAAACCCAGCCTCCCTTAAAAATGATAGCTTACCTAAATTTTCTGTTGATATAAGCACGTCCAGGCCATGTTTTCCTTTCTCATCAACTGATTTTATAATTGCAGGTACCACGTTCTCTACAACGTTTGAAATGACTGTGGTTGGTAAGGTTCCCTGTGGCACAAGGTAAAATATTTTAGCACAGAGAAATGTCACGAGTGTGGGACATAGAAAAATTCCGAATCCCACGAGGAATAAAACCTCAGACCTTTGGATTTCACTCTCCGATGCTCTACCACTGAGCAGGAGGCGAAGGGTTACCTTATTTTCGTTGAGTTGTTGCCATGACAATTTGTTGTCATTGTTCATCATTGAACTAACCATCGTGCTAACTCCCTACAACACAAGAAATATTTGGAAAATAGTTAAATCCAACTGTCTGAACGTAATTTTTAAAATTATTAATTGTACATAAAAACAAATTTAAGTCCCCTGGACGGGAAATGAATTCATCGCGTTAATATTCTTTGAAATTTTATTGCATTGGTACTTAATTATATTCTTTTATGGAGAGAGATATTGGGAGAGCAACGTTCCTTACCCGAGAACGAAACACATTGAAGGGGTTGAAACTCGCAGTCTGGCGTGGTGGGCAGCGTTTTTACATCTTTTGAAGAATAAGGGGAAATCTTGAAAGTGGTAGTTGTTGGAAGAGTCGTGATACAAGAGACCTTTCTTTATGTGTTAGGATTTCAGCGAGTATTGGAGATTAAAGTTGTACAAAAGGGTTCAAATATATGATATTTCCAAAACGGTGCAGGAAACCTCACCTTTAACTTATAAATATATAATGAAACATCTAAGATCATGTCGCTTCCTTACCTCCATCAGCTTCTCGGCCTCATGTGTACTGGTGTTCAGATTCTTCATCTTATTTTTGACATTATCCAGTACATCAACCGTTTCCGTCAGTTCTTCACTGCTCATTTTCTTTAAACCGTTCACTTCCTCTGCCATGTGATTTGTTACTGCAATAACAGTGGCGACGTCTGCAGCTTGCTGTGGATCATTTCATCATGAAATAGCTAATTAAATTTCAAACTGAAACTGGATTTTAAAGCAGAATAAATTTTAATCTTCCACTATCAACACTATGGCTCGTCATGTTGCTATCTTGAGTTCCTTCTGATTCTTTTTTGTACTTGCCACAGTTTTGATTGACCATTCGTTGTGATTACTTTTGGTTTGGTTGAACGACATACAATTCAAAGCGCTCTAGCAGAATGTCAGTGATACAACGTATATGGTTCCTTAGTGTATTTGATACTTTTGTTTATACAATTAGTGGCGAAGAACTGTCATGCCCTTGTTTTTGGTTTTTGGGGTTGATAATTTACGTATTTTTACCTTAACAGTCTATTTCCTTTAGGTAGGAATCGACCTTTTTTTACGACATCCACACATCTTACGACTTCATGTGCATATTGTCAATAAGTTTCGGCTTTAGATTATAACTTTCCTGCTCTTCAAAATAGTAGCAGAAACAAATTTCTTACCGCTATTTTTTCCTTTCCCTCAGCAAGTGTCGTACTTAACGGCTTTCTCTCTGTCAGGTAACCATAAAGCACGTTTGTCATTCACGATTTATTCGCAAACAAGAAAAGATTTAAAGAAAATAAGAAGGTTTTGGGTCTTAGTGATTACGGGATGATTGTATATTACTTTCTTCAACCCCTTATCTACCGTTGATCAATGGTTTAGCTGGGGATGACCTCAGTCACACTGTGGCGTTTCTTCCCATCTAATGATCATGAGCTGAGAGCGATTTGTCAGACTCTTTAAACCTTCTCAGCGGCTTCCCTGCGGTGCGTTTACCAGATGAAGACCCATTCAGTAACACTTAGGAATTACAAACGCCTGTATTAGTTGAGTGAGGAAAGCGAAATTATCCAGATTCTAATTTCTGGCTGTTAAGGATTGCAAAGTTCTCCATACTTTGGTGTTTACCAAGCATGAGAAGAATATTGCACCATACATTATTATTATTAGGGAAGTAATGAAACCTCGTTAAAAAACCTTTCAAATTTGCCAAAAGCTTTCTTAAACGCTTAATACTGTAAGCAGCGTCAAGAGAACTTATAGCCCGTACTGGGAATACATTAATTTTTCACAAAACATTGATTGTTTAAAACTGCAGGCTAAGACATAACTGGCTCTAAATGCCTGGCTGTGTCTCACCTTCACACTTTTTAATTTCTTTGTTAAACGAATACCCAGTCGCACAGGAACAGTGAAAGCCTCCAAGCGTATTTGTGCAACTAACGCAATCCATACTGGAACTCTGCAGACATTCGTCCACATCTTCACAAACCCTCAAATCGCTTGCGAGCCTGTAACCATCACGGCAAGAGCAGCAGTAACTTCCATCTGTATTATGGCACTTGTGCTCGCAAATGGTAATGTTTTCGCACTCGTCTATGTCTTCACAATTCGTCTCAGAACATTCAGTACATGAGCCGTTCGTGCTACAACCGAGGCTTTTATTGCAATAATGTTCGTCTAAAGTCCGTTGGTAGCCTTTCCTGCAAAGACAGTCGTAACTCCCGGGGGTATTAACACATACCTGAGAACATTCTCCGTTGTCTTGCAAACATTCGTCGATATCCGAGCAATTTTTGCCATCAGGTTGGTAACCGAGGAGGCACGAACAGTTATACCCCCCTTGATAATTGTTACACAGCTGTTGGCAGCCGTGCTCGTTCAGCTGACACTCATTAATGTCCTTACAAGATCTTTGATCTGCTTGTAGCTCATAGCCTCGTAAACACGAGCAGTTAAAACTACCAGGGGTGTTAACACACATTTGCTGACATCCCGAGCGTCCGCTGCTACATTCGTCTACATCCACGCACGTCTTTCCATTGTTCGCTATTTGAAAACCGTGTTCACACGAACATTTAAAACTTCCAGGTGAGTTTGCGCAATAGACCTGGCAGCCACCGTTGCTTATTGAGCACTCATCAATATCGTGACAGTTATTTCCGTCGGAAGAGCGAGTGTAACCTGAACGACAGTCACAACGAAAGCTTCCTGGAGTGTTCACGCATATATGCTCACATAAATTGTGACCCTGACACTCGTCAATATCCACGCATTTAAATTTGTTTGCAGACCAGCCCTGGTTGCACACGCAATAAAAGCTACCTATCTTGTTCACACACACATGGTCGCACCCACCGTTGTTAGCGCTGCATTCGTTGTTGTCCCTGCATGATTTTCCGTCCCCGTTGAGTTGGTAACCGCTCAAACACGAGCATTGGTAACCTCCATCTGTGTTGATACACGTGTGTTGACAATCATGTGTTCCAAGTTGACATTCATCAATGTCATGGCATGATTGATTGCTTTTATTGAACGTGTAACCCCCGACACAAGTGCATTGGCGACATTGGCAATTGCTTTGGGTGTTATTGCAATAAAAGCTGCAAGTGCCGTGGGTAATGTTGCAGTTGTTGTTGTCGTTGTCGTTGTTTTGACACGTTGGAAGGTTTGGTAACGGCTGGTTACAGGTACAAGTGTAATCTGTATTTTCATGTATTTCTTGTGTTTGGCAAAGAGGTTTTTGTTCCTCGCTGCAAGGACTTAGAGCTGTGGTGAAAGAGAAACAAGTTGTAGCAAAGTAACTTGATTAATCTTCTTGAGGATAGTTAAAATAAATGAGCGCAATCAAGTCCAGGGAAAGTATCTTCAAGTTATATTTTAGAGGCTTTAACAACTGGAACTCTTACGAGAAATATCTAAATTAGGTTGAAAATACCTTTACAAGTTGTTCCGTGTCTTAGGTCATCAAAAGCGATATAACCCCAGTTTTCGGTACCTCTATCTACCAGTTTCACCCTTGCAATGCTCCCAACAAATTGTTTAAGATCCACCTTGGTTCTTTTGAGCTGTGTTAGACAATTACCAGTCCTCGATATTACTGTGCTATCATTGACCACAATTTCCATGCGAACTGTTTGGATGTCACAACCCCCTACACGAAAGAGGAATACATAGTTAAAAGCATGATGATGTAGCATCTAATTAGCTGGATGAAAAGCTTATTAGACTTATGTCTGTCTTTACCACCAATCAAAAAAGATAACGAAGGGCTTCTGATGAGAAAGGGCGGCGACATCATCGTTCCTGTTGCCTGTTTTCCAAGTGAGGAATTTTGCCATTGGCAGGGCGTTGTGACATTTCTCTGAGTGTCAATCAACCAGTTTCCTTGGTGGCCAGAGAGAGAAGATCCCCCAAATATTGGCTGGTGGATAAACGCACTACCATGTTTGAACCAATCATCAGCGCCATGCTCAAAATTGAAAACTGGGCAATCTTAAAAGAGCAGAAAAAATAGGAATTTTTGGACGTAATCTTTTTCGTAGTTTTGGGATCGTAATAATTATTTTCTACTTCTTACCCCAGCACGACTTAAGATGGTCTCTCTTTGAAATTCCTTTTAAAATATGGCAGTCAACTATGATGAAATTTATTTCAACTTTTCTCGCTCCTCCCCTTTACATGTTATTTGCATAACGCCTTGACAACTCGCAAGGGCAGACTGCCTCCTTTTAGAGGAAAAAATCTTTTTTACTCTTTTTTTTTAACCATTTTTTACCTCAGTTTATACTATAATAAAAACACAACGGAGAAATATCCTACAAACCAACAGAATTCGTTATTGTCCAATCGTTACTTTTGAAGCCTATGACCATATTAGAAAAGGATACGTAATTTTAGTCTATGAGAAAAAACAGAATGGTTTTCCAAGTTATATTTAACAGAAAAAAAACGAATTTCTAGTCGAAACCAATTTTTTCCAATTTAGCCCTATTAAAGAGAAAGACATCCAATATTTTAAAGTATCATTTACCTCAAACGACACAGCTTAATTTGTCGACTTTAGAATTGTAATCATATAAATCTGATCATAATAATATTCTAACAGGCCATTCGTTGCGAAAATAATTTGGTTGAAAAAGCTTGGTGGTTGAAAAAATATGTGTATTCATTACTTATGAATAGTATCGGATCATAATAATTTTCTAACAGGCCATTCGCTGCGAAAATAATTTGGTTGAAAAAATATATGTATTCATTACTTATATAATTTCGTCTCCAGGAACTGTGTTAGATGTACGAAGTTTTCTCAATGGTGTTGTAACGTTAGCAGAAATAATTCAACGATCGTGACATTCTCTTTTTCACTCACGTTTGGGAAATTCGTTGCTAATTGGACCGGCGTCGATCAATGATATTAGACCCTGAAGAACGGCAAAACCATTTAAAATCAAATTTAGGCTGAGATACATGACGCATTCCCGATAGCAGCATTAAGATTCAGCATCGAATACCGGCGCAAAAATCTCCGATGAAACTATAAAAAGGCTTCATATGCAATAACAGACAGAGTAAAACAGGATAGAGCCCTCCAGATGAATTCACTGTTGATCGTTTCGTGCTGCGGAGCAACCAACGGGACGTCGGTAGATAATTTTAAAGTACATTGTTTATCGTGAAGTTGAATGCTTCTTCACGTTGATTAACCTGATCCGGAAAAAAACATAAACCTTTATTTAAATCTTAAGAATAAAGTTTAATTAATTTTGGCGACACACAACCCACGGATTAAGTTTATCGTATCAAACATTTGTCACAGCACCGTAGGGAGGGAGATAACCTGGACATTTTCTTACATGCATGAAACGTCTTGAGGGGCAACTTTTATGTTCTAGAATCGGGTCTGCCTTTGTTTTGAAAGTCTTGTGTAGGCGTTGGTTTTTTGTTGTTGGACCAAAGAATTGGCTGATGCAGAGTTGTATAATTTTGTCAATTTGTCAAGATAATTTTAAAATGATGAAAACGGTTTCACGTTTTCAACGATATATCCTAGACGTTTGAATATTATGGAGGTTGTTTAATTTTCCAGCCGTTCTCAAACAACACAAAACTGACCGATTCATTTTCTGGGATCACGATTTTAAATTGTTAGAACGATTTTTTTCTTTTTGTGTAGGCCACTTTGCATAAGTGGTCATTTTGACGCCTCGCTTTTTATTCAGATGACATAAAAAGCAAATAAACTTCTTCAAAATCTCAATATACTTAACTACGGATAAACCAGGATAGCAAAACACCAGAAATGAGAACAAACTTAGATTAAGAAACACAATAGAAGAAACTACACAAAAAATTTGGCTAGGAATTATTGCAGTTATCGCCGGAAGTTTTCCGAAAATGTTGTTTGGCAAGTCTGCCGAAAATTCTCGAATATCACACAAGTAGATTAATTTCTAGCTACTTTTTGCAAACATTGTTCTTGATGATTGGCCCAATTGTTTCACTGTTATCAGCATCGGTATTTTTTTTGGCTCTAACAGTTTCCTTTCACGTAATCTACAATAGCCATGAAGATGTTGTGACCAATATCATTTATACCTTAGCTTAAATACTGTGCGGGTGATCTGAACTTTGTTCTTTTTATAAAACATATTAGAGATGTGTTGTGAAAAGAAAAGCAGATAAAGTCGGAAAAGAAGAGAAAAGGATTATGACAATTTTAGACAATTTTTGACAATTTAGATCTACTAATTTCGTATAGCTGCTTCAATTAATACATCCTCTTCACTTTTTTTTAAGATATCATAGAGGAAGTCTGTGTCTGAGGGTGAAAAAGATAAGATGTGTTTCTTAATTTGAGTAAAACTCCACTCCTTGCCATGGAAGTACAACTGTTTCAATAGCAGTTGTTCTTGATCCATGCAATTTTTGTATGCGACTTTGCCTGAAAAATTTTCGTTTGCCCTAGGACCTCATACCGTCGTTATTTTAAAACGTGGATCATTGCCTGGTGCAAATCTCAGCTTTATTCATGACGTGATACTTCTGAGAGCAACCTTAATTATTGATTTTTTTCATTGCAAAAACTCTCTTGCGAATTTTTTTCTTTAATGTTTTAATTTCTTGGCAGCTAAAGGGGAAAACTAGCGAAACAAGATTGCGTTTGGCGAAATGTGTCATAACCAAACAAGTTGAACAGCATTCTTGAGTAAACAATGTCATAGTTTGAAAGGAATGCATTTGCGTCATAGCCATTTTATATTTGTGTCTGTCAAAATAAATAAAACAAAATAAACAAAACCTGAGGTTCCGCGTAGATTAAAAGGAATCGTAATTGAAAGGCATCCAAAAAATTGCGTTTCTTGGTACCTGATATTTTTTTCATGAGTGGTTTTCAGAAATGCGAAGTGCATTTTCTAGAGAAAAGGCCGAACCTCGATCAAACGCTAGGGTAAAGTAGCATATTAATTCTGGGCTTAATTGGAGCCCTGACCGACGTTCCGACCTTCACAATTTGCGATCGGGCTAACATGCCAACATCTCTCTAAGAAATAGCACAGCTGCGACATACTGCTGCGATAATTTCATTTGTGAAGATTTCCAGAGGAAAGAAATGCCCATTTAGTTAACCCAGTAACATTTTTCTGACGTTCAGGGGATGGAAAATTTGTACCGTCATGATAAATGACCTTATGGATGCGGAGGATGGGTGATAAAAATTAACCTAAACAGAGAAAGAAAATAACGCTACGTTAATAAACGTTTAGCCTCGATTTGAACCTGGCCTTGAAATAGTTAAATTGTTAACCACTTTTTTTTAGCCTCGTATGCACAGTAAGTCCAAGAGTCGTTCTTTTCATTCCTTTTTTTATTTGTTTTACTCAACATCGCGGATGTGTAAAGAGTATCTTTGTGTGATACTTTGCGGTTTTTATTTACGTGGGTAAGTTTTGAAGAGGGATTCTAATGCCAAAGAATGACTCTGAACTTCCATCTCAAGTTTTCGAAGCTTCAACTTTCGTGAACCGTTTTAAAAGCAAGAAGTGGAAAACGCCCATTGCATTTTACACTTGCTATACATGGAAATTCGAATGTAATAGAAATAGTTAAAGAAGGTTTACCTTCGTTTAATAGATGCGTTGATGTTAAACACTTTGATGTAAGGATTTCTATGGACTTGAGAGTCATTTACAATGATTGTAAATTGGTTGGATTCAGGTTGCAAAGTACTGCACGCGATGAACACAGTGGAAAATAACCAACACAGGACAGCGGACTGTTGTTTAATGCTTATTGTGCACAAATATTAAGCAGGACAGAGTACAAATTCATATGGTCTTGGTGCGGAGATATATCTTCTCACTAAATAAATCCTGTTTGTTGATTACGTTTCCTTTAACAAGATCGTGCGAAAAACGCGTAACACGGCTCAAAAAAGTAGATTTAGAGCTGATTCTGAGCTAAAAATTTTGTTACTGGGCGCGTTAATTTAATATTTTCACGGACAGCCGCTTTGTAGAGGTTTCTCAAGTCCCGCAGATACTTGAAGCAGCTCTATTCATTTGGTGTGTGGGTCGAAGATTAGGAGAGGGAGGCACGTTCTACTTTTTAAATAAGACATCTAAATCTAATAAGACTTTGAAAGTGGTTCCCTTAGTACCCGTGAATATCCGAGGAAGCACAAGACTTTAGCCGGGTAATCGTGTGTTATCAACTGAGTTAAAAACGTAAATTGGCCACCGTAAAGAGTTTAAAGGCCGACGTTTCGAGAAACGATCGCTCCGACAAAGGGCTAAGGCTCGAAATGTCAGCCTTTAAACTCTTTACGGTGGCCAATTTACGTTTTCAACTCAGTTGATAACACTGAATTACCCCGTTAATTATATAATATATGGATGTAACGATTGCTTTTAGTACAAACGTACCAAATGACCTAGTCTCGCAAAAAGCTTGTCTCAAGTTAGCCAAGGATTCACTTTCGGAAACGTTTTAACTTAAAGAGCCTCATTTAATGAGGCAATAAGACAAAAGGAAATTGTAGCCAAGGTAAATTTATTTTATGATAGTTCATTCGATCCTGTGATTGACGTCTTAATACTGTACGGGCATGATTGACGCATGCATTTTAAATGATTGCAGCTTTTTCTTCCCTTGCAACGATCTTTACTGAAGTAGTTTTAATGAAAAACTTGACTAAATACCCCCGGAAGCTATCTTGTTTCTAGACTTTGCAGAAACCAATGAAAAAACTAAAAGTGCAATACCTCGTTGTAAAAATTGATTGACCCAAAATGCACATTTGCATGATTTTCGAATTACGACGGATCATCTTCTCAGAGAAATAATTTTAGTGTTATTTCAGAATA